TAAAATATTAAAAATTCTCTCTCTCTCTCTCTCTCTCCTCTCTCACTCTCTCTTTAAAAAAAAAAAAAAGAGCACTAGCGGCTGTCTCAGTGGTAGAGCATTTGCTTAGCACATATGAGGCACTGGGTTCAATCCTCAGCACCACATAAAAATAAATAAATAAAATAAAGATATTGTGTCCATCTACAGCATACACACACACGCACACACACACACACACACACACACACACACACTGGTTTCACTGGCTTTTGTATTTTAACTTTGGGAAAAATACGAAGGCGTTTCCTGGCTTCTGTTTACTTTTCTCTAAAGAAAGCATGGCACAATTTTAATTGATTTATTTGACTTTTGGGAACACTTATTCTATTGTATAGGATGAAATAATGCTCAATTCTATAATTGAAAATAAAGCTAATTAAGGTTTGGTTTTTTTTTGGTTTTGTTTGGTGTTGGAGATTAAAGCCAGGGCTTCACAAGCTAGGCAGGTGCTTTGCTATTGTGCTGCATCCTCATCCCTTTTTATCTTATTTTGAGATAGGGTCAGTGCTGGGAATGTATAGAACAATTTTCTTGCGAGCACAAGGCCCTGGGTCCCAACTCCATCCTGGATGGCAAAAATCAAAATTGAGAGAGAGTCTTGCAGTTGCCAGGCTGCCTTAGCCTCCTGACTAGCTGTAGGTGTGTGCCACAATTACCCAACTCCTCCCCTTTCTCTTTCCCTTCTTTTCCCCCTCCTATCCTTCCATTGTTTGGAGGTTGAGCCTTCTTGCTTGCTGTCCATCTGTCAGTCTGTCTGTCTCTCTCTTCCCCCTTCCTTTCTTCCACTCTTTCCTCCTTTCTTTCTCTGCAGTGCTAGGGATCAAGCCCTTCCTTCCCTTTTTCCTTTCTTCCTTCTCTTTATTCCTATTTCCCTCCTTCCTTCCTTCCTTTTTCCTTTTCCTTTTCTTTCAGAGAAGAATTCTCCATTTCTTGCCTGAAGTATACGTCACTATGTAATATCCCAAACCTGGTAGCTTGAAACAGCTGGCATTTGTTACTGTTGTGTGTCTGTGGGTCGAGTAGGTTCGGCTAGGAGATTCTCATTCGGAGTTTGTTGTGGTTGCAGCGGCTGAGGCTAGAGTCATCTCAGAGCTGTATCTGTCTGGCAGTTGAAGTTTGAACAGCTGTCCTGTCCACATGGCCTGGGCTTCCTCATGGCAAGGTGGCCATGTTTCAAGAGCAGGCATCCTACAAAACAGGCAGAGCTGTATGGCCCTTTCAGACATTGACTGGGAAGTTCTCATTTTGGGGGGCATGTCTCCTTCACCAGTTGTAGTGTTCCTATTCATCTTGAAGTAGAAAGGGTGGGAGGAAGGAGTGTCAAAAAATCTGCAAGTTGGGTGTAGCTCAGTGGTAGAGCAGCTGCCTAGAGTTCCAGCCTTAGCCCCAGCTCCATCACCAAAAAAAGAATTTTCAGATTTTTAAAATTTTTTTCTTTTTTTTTTTTTTTGGTACCAGGAATTGAACTCAGGGACACTCGATCACTGAGCCACATCTCCAGCCCTATTTTGTGTTTTATTTAGAGACAGGGTCTCACTAAGCACTGAGTTGCTTAGTGCCTCACTTTTGCTGAGGCTGGCATTGAACTCTAGATCCTCCTGCCTCAGCCTCCTGAGCCACTGGGATTACAGGCATGCACCACTGCACCTAGCCTAACATTTCCTTTGCGACTACTAAAATGAAAGCTGGGAAAAAGACACAACAGAGTCTATGTGATAGAGATCATTAGCAGGGAAATACTTTTTATGTTCTTCTGGAAGACAGAATGTCAGTAGAGGAATGGTAAATAATAAAGCAAAGATAGACAAACCCCAGGATACATATACACAGACACACACAAATGCACATAAATAGACTCTGCCTTTGGAAAGCAAAGAGGCTTCAGACTGGAAATAGCAGGTGTGAGATGATGTGGGGTTTGCAGGGCTAATAATGGGGATGAGCTGAATGTGTGTAGACAAAAGGCATTAATTCTTGCCCTGACCCCCAGTCAATAGACCAAAAAGCCAAGAGCCACACACATGTACTATAATGGTTTTAAAATATATAAAAATTTGCCAGGCATGTGCTGCACACTGTAATCCCAGCAGTTCCAGAGGCTGAGGCGGGAAGATTGAGAGTTCAAAGCCAGCCTCAGCAATTTAGTGAGGCCCTAAGCAACTCAGTGAAACCCTGTCTTTAAATAAAATACAAAATAGGGCTGAGGATGTGGCTCAGAGATCAGGTGCCCCTGAGTTCAATCCCCAGTATCAAAAATCAAAACAAAACATGAGAAGCCAGGCATGGTGGTACATGCCTATAATCCTGGCATTTTGGGAGGCTGAGACAGGAGGATCATGCGTTCAAAGGCAGCTTCAGCAATTTATCAAGGTTCTGAGGAACTCAGTAAGACCTGCCTCAAAATAAAACAAACAAAAAAAAGGGCTGGGTAGGGGTTGGGTTGTAGCTCAGTGGTAGAACACTTGCCTAGCACGTATGAGGCACTGGGTTTGATCCTCAGCACCACATAAAAATAAATAAAGATATTGTATCCATCTACAACTAAAAAAAAAAAAAAAAATTATAAAGGACTGCGGATATGACCCAGGGGTTAAGTACCCCTGGATTCCATCCCTGGTACAAAAAAAAAAAAAACCACACACACAAAAAAAAAATGAGAGAGTATTTTCAATAGGTAGTAAATGAAATATCTGATACCCTTAGGTGTTTTTTCCTTAGGTATGAAGGAAAGGACTTTCCTCAGTGGGGGTGGGAGGATAATTTAGGCAGAGATGAGGAAGGGAGTAAGATAAGAATGAGCATTGCGTGTTTGTGGACTTAGAGTAGAATAAGGATTTCGTACTATGAAAATTTATGAATGGAAATTTTTTTCTTTCTATTAAAGATTACTTTAGTTTCTGTAATCAAATCCATGTAGATAAGACCTTACATATTTGATACAGTGCGTTACCCATGTATAAATTGAAAAAAATTAAGGTTACTATTTCTGGACATATTAACATATTTCTGTTAATTTCTGTACAATGCTTACTCAAATTGAAAACTGGGAGACTTTTTCCAAAGTTGACAGCACAGCCAGTGTTTTCAAATTTTTGAGTTATTTGTGTATGTTGTGTGTTTATATGTTTATTATATATATATTTATATGTATATTTATTTATATAAAAAGAGCAATAATAGCAGTATGTATGCATCAATAGCAGCCTCAGCTTTTCCAGATTTTTTTAGTCATCTGAACAAAATTGTAGAAACATCTAGCACACTCCATTAAAAGGGGTGGGGGATTGGTAAAAAAGAAGCAAAACCTGAGAAAAAATTCTGTAACTGTTGTAATACTTGGCACCATTTTTTTTATTAGCTTCTTAATTATCATATGAAAAGAAAGATTTCTAGAATAACGGCATTAAAAGCAGCTCTGATAAAGCACAGTCACTACTGTATATGATAAAGTAGATACAAGAGGTTTAACATTCAGAGGTATGATATAGTTCTGTCCCACGTCTTTTATATTGGAGGAAACAATTAAAAAGGCATTTATGAGACTGGATTCCACTTTAGGATGGAAATTTTGAAGTGCATGATTGTTTGATACTATCTTGACCAAAACCATAGGGGACAAACTGGAGGGACCTTTCTAAAATTGCTTAGTTTAATGGTCAATCCAAAGGAAAGGGGCTCCTTCAAAGGTCCTGTGAACTGAGCAGATGATTCCAGGCCCTGGAGAGTCTCTGAGGAGAGGGTAGCTCAGGGGCAAAGGAGCAAGGTGGTAATGACATTCTGAGGGCAGATGTTGATCCTCTTCAGGAAGGCTTAAGGCAGTGGCAGGAGGAGCAGGAAAGGAAAGTACGAGCTCTCTCAGAGATGGCGTCTGAACAGCTGAAGCGATTTGATGAGCTGAAGGAACTGAAGCAGCATAAAGAATTTCAGGATTTAAGGGAAGTGATAGAGAAGAGGTGAGTCTCCCTGAATTACAACTGAGATGTTCATGTATTCAACTGAAACTCTTTCCCTAGAGGAATTCTAAGGGAAAAGAGTTGAATTTCTGAGTCCTTAAATATCAAAATAAAATAAGTGGAGAAGAATATAACCTGGAAAATGATCATCCTTGGGTTTGGGAAGAGGGTGAACCATCTTGAGAAGCATCCCTGACTATTCTTCCTGCAATTTCATTTAGTACCAGAGAAGCCCTGGGCCACCAGGAGAAGCTGAAAGCTGAGCATCGTCACAGAGCCAAGGTCAGTGCCTGGGAGATTCAGGGAAGATATATTGCTATCTGTCTATAACCTGTCTGAAGGGTCAAGTTCTGTCAGTCATCCTGGAGGACATGCCCATATCATGCCTCTGCACTACTGGCTTGAGGAATTCATTTTCCTGCTCATCTGTAGGCATATAAAGCACACCTAGTACTCTAGAAGTGTGGAAAGAGAAAGGCCAGGAGCTCTTCAGAAAGAGTGACACAATGACCCTTTCTATAGATTCTCAACCTGAAACTGCGAGAGGCAGAGCAGCAGCGCTTGAAGCAAGCAGAGCAGGAACGACTGCGGAGAGAGGAAGGCCAGGTTCGCCTGCGGAGCCTCTATACCCTGCAGGAGGAGGTACTGCAGCTCAACCAGCAGCTGGACACCTCCGAACAGCACAAGGACCTGCTGAAGGTGGACCTGGCTGCCTTCCGGACCCGAGGCAACCAGCTGTGCAGTCTCGTCTCTGGGATCATTCGGACCACTTCAGAGGTGAGAAGCCTTAGAGTGACTGTTTTTCTATCTTTGAAATGGAGTACCTTATCTGGGTATGGTGACACACACCTGTAATCCCAGCTACTAGGAAGGCAGTGGCAAGAGAACCAAGTTTGAGGCCAGCCTAGGCAACTAAGCATGACCCTGTCTTAAAAAGCAGCACCAGCCAGCCTTGTGTGGTGGTGCACGTCTGTAATCCCAGTGGCTTGGGAGGCTGAGACAGGAGGATTGCAAGTTCAAAGCCAGTTCAGCAAAAGTGAGGTGCTAAGCAAGTCAGTGACACCCTGTCTCTAAATAAAATACAAAAGAGGGCTGGCGATGTGGCTCAGGGGTTGAGTGCCCCTGGGTTCGATCCTGGTATCAAAAAAAGAAGCAGTACCAGGTGCAAGGGTGCATGCCTGTAATCCCAGCATCTCCAGAGGCTGAGGCAAGAGGATCGCAAATTTAAAGACAGCCTTAGCAATTTAGTGAGGCCCTAAACAAACACAGTGAGACCCTGACTCAAAATGAAAAAGCAGGCTGGGGATGTGGCTCAGTGGTTAAGTGCCCCTGGGTATAATCCATGGTTCAAAAGAGAAGGATTTAGCCAGGTGCAGTGGCCCACACCTATAATCCCAGCAGCTCGGGAGGCTGAGACAGGAGGATCATGAGTTCAAAGCCAGCCTCAGCACGGCGAGGCACTAAGTAACTCAGTGAGACCCTGTCTCTAATAAAATATAAAAATGGGCTGGGGATGTGGCTTAGTGGTTGAGTGCCCCTGAGTTCAATCCTTGGTATCGTCCCACTCTGCTGCCCCCACCAAAAAAGGGACGTGGCTTAGTGGTAAAGTGCTTGCCTAGCATGCTGGGTTCCATCCTTGAGGCCACAAAAAATAAAACAAAGATGAATAAAAAAATCAATTAGGGCTGGGGTTCTAGCTCAGTGGTGGAGCACTTGTGTAGCATGCCTAAGGCCCTGAGCTTGAACACCAGCAGTGCAAAAAAAAAAAAAAGTTTTATAGTTTATTACTTTTGAATTCTCTTCATGGGTTTTGTTTACATTTCATTTTGTAAAATTACAAACCAATACAGGAGTAGAAAGGATAGCATAATGAATCTTTACACATCCATTCTCTAGCTCAATAGAGGTCGGTGCATGGCAGCCACACTTTATCTATACCTCCAAAGTTTAAAAAGACTGCTTTTAGCAAAATACTGATGTCACATGTAAAAATTTAGTAATTTAATATGATCAAATATCTAGTCGGTGTTCAGATTTCTCTGACTGGCTGTATGTAGTGATGCTTACCTGTAATATCAACCTCTCAGGAGTCTAAGGCTTAGCAAGAACCTGTTTCAAAATAAAAGGGCTGGGGATATAGCTCAGTGGTGGAGTTACAGATTCAATCCCCAGTACTGGAGGGGGCCCTCGTGGAGGGGGAGGGATAGAAACATAATTGTTCAATAATTAGAAAAGTAAGTTCAAAATCACCTTTAAAACATTTGTTGCAAATTAAAACTAACATTGTAAACTAGCATATTGTTTTTTTGTTTGTTTGTTCGTTTTTTGGTCAATGGACTTTTATTTTTATTTATTTATATGCTTGGGCTGGGGATGTGGCTCAAGCGGTAGTGCGCTCGCCTGGCATGCGTGCGACCCGGGTTCGATCCTCAGCACCACATACCAACAAAGATGTTGTGTCCGCCGAGAACTAAAAAATAAATATTAAAAATTTCTTTTCCTATTTATTTATATGCAGCGCTGAGATTCCAACCCAGTGCCTAATACATGCTAGGCAAGCATTCTATCACTGAGCTGTGACCCCAGCCCTATAATCACATAGTTTTAAAAAATTACTGAAAATTACTATGGCCGGGTACAGTGCCGCACACCTGTATTTCCAGCGGCTGGCAGGTGGGGAGGTAAGGGGGAAGCATCGTGAATTCAAAGCCAGCCTCAGCAATTTATCGAGGCCCTAAGTGACTAAGTAATTCAAAAAACAAACCTTTTGGACTGAGGTTGTGGCTAAACAGTAGAGCGCTCGCCTCGCACATGCAGGACTCTGGGTTTGATCCTCAGCACCACATAAAAAAATAAATAAGTGAAATAAAGGTATTGTGTCCAACTACAACTAAAAAATAAATTAATACAAACAAACAAACAAAACTGTTTTTTTGTTTCTGAATAAAAAAGGGCTGGGGACGTGGCTCAATGGTTGAGTGCCCCTGAGTTCATCCCTGGTAGCAAAAAAAAAAAAAAGCCAACTTTATTCTTAGATACTATGGATGGGATTGGGATGGTCAGTCTTAAGAAACTAAGGAGCCAGTTAGTATCAGAGTGTTGGGTATTCCACTGGCCCAATAATTCCACTTCTATGGATGTATTGACTTGTATGAGGTATGATTTAGCCCCACAAGTTTTCCTAGGGAATGAGCTCCAAATGCTGTCTGTTCCACTCTGCCAGAGTGGCTATCCCACAGCAGAGAACCAAGCTGAAGCCGAGAGAGCCCTGCAGGAAATGCGGGACCTCCTCAGGAACTTGGGGCAGGAGATCACCAGAGCCTGTGAAGACAAGAAGAGGCAGGATGAGGAGGAGGCCCAGGCCAAGCTGCAAGCCTCACAGACACATCAGGGGCCAGGGCCCCACACACAGTCCCAAGTCCCCACCCAGGGCCCAGGAGGGACACGGAATGAAGGTGGGTCTGGGTGTGAATACAGTCTTGTAACTCAGCCTAAGTTTCAGAACTTGGTGAAAAGAAGCAAGGGTGTATGGCCAGAGGTTGGAAAAATTTAACCAAAACTTACATATAACATATTTAGTTTCGTTTGATGTGGAGCCTGATTTCATATCATAGCACTTTGCATGAAGATTTGAAGTCTGGAGGCTGGGGATGTGGCTCAACCGGTAGCACACTCGCCTGGCATGCGTGCAGCCTGGGTTCGATCCTCAGCACCACATACAAACAAAGATGTTGTGTCTGCTGATAACTAAAAAATAAATATTAAAAAAATTCTCTCTCTTTCTCTCTCTCTCTCTCTAAAAAAAAATATTTGAAGTCTGTATAATTCTGGCAAATATATTATTCCAAGTATTGCTATTACTGAGTATTTTAAGTAAATATATACAGATATATGTTCACTTAATATGTACAAAGCTCAGTATAGTATAGTGTTTGAGAGTATGGGCTCTGGATGGAGCCCAATCACTGGATCTAATTGTACTTACTAGCAGTGTGACCTTGGCCAATCACTTAACCTTTCCATTACCTGTTTCTTTTTCCACAAAATGGAGATAATAAGGGCTGGGGAGATAGCTCAGTAGTAAAGCACCTGCCTAGCATGCAAGAGGCCCTAAGTTCAATACCTGTCACCACATAAAAAAATAAAAATAAACAACAACAATAAAATGATATCTTTAAAAAAATTGAGATAATAATAATAGTATCTACTTCATAGTGTTATTGTAGCTATTAAAGCAATTAATATGGGCTGGAGATATAGCTCAATTGGTAGAGTGCTTGCCTCACATGCATAGCCCTGGGTTCAATCCCCAGCACCAAAAAAAAAGCAGTTAATATGTCAGAAAGTGGTTAGCACAGTTCATGGCTCATGTAACATGTTCAGTAACTACCAGCCACTATGAAATCTTGTCTTATTCCTTAGACCTCCAGGTGAAGGTCCAGGACAGCACGATGCAGTGGTACCAGCAGCTGCAGGATGCTTCTGCCCAGTGTGTGTTGGCCTTTGAAGGTCTGACCAGCAGCAAGGATAGTCAGGTAGGGGAGGTGTAGATGGCCTGATGGTGCTCCCCATAGCCTCCTGTCACAGAGGAGTATAGCTGTTGTGTCACATTCCCTAATCCTGAGGGTATCTACTCAGTTTTCTTCAAAATATTCTCACTACTCACTATTCTTTTCTGGCAGGCCAAAAAGATAAAGATGGACTTGCAGAAGGCTGCCACCATCCCTGTGAGCCAAATCTCCACCATTGCAGGTGAGTCAGAGGATTGAAAGCATGGCCCTTTGCCTCATTGTCTTGTTTTCTGTTTCCAAATCTACTTAGCTGTAAAGTTTCTATGTAAAGAATATGTTCAGGCTCAGAAATATGACTTAATGCTAGAACACTGGGCTAGCCTTATGTGAGACCCTGAGTTTTATCTCTAGCACCACATACACACATAAAAGGGTATGACCAAACAAATGTTGGCAGTTGCATTGAGTACATGTAAATGGTATGAATCCCATTTTTCTTTCCTTTTTCCTCTCCAGTGCATAGAAAGAAGTTACAAGGTAATCATGTATTTTTTGTACTGCGGATTGAACCTAGGCATACTTTATCACTGAGCTACATCCCAGTTCTTTCTCTTTTATTTTATTTTTTTGGGGGGGGTTCGGGGGGTACCAGGGATTGAACACAGAGGCACTCAACCACTGAGCCACAATCCCCAGTCTTGTTTTGTATTTTATTTAGAGCAGGGTCTCACTGAGTTGCTTGGTGCCTTGCTTTTGCCGAGGCTGGCTTTGAACTTGTGATCCTCCTGCCTTAGTCTCTTGAGCCGCTGGAATTACAGGCATGCACCACCTTACCTGGCCTCTATTTCTTTTCTTGAGATAGGGTCTCACTAAGTTCCTGAGGGTCTCACTATCTCATTATGTTGCCCAGGCTGGCCTCTGGATCTTCCTACCTCAGTCTATGTAGTGGCTGGGATTACAGGTGAATGCCACTGTGCTCAGCTTAACTTGTTTTTACTAAGCTATGTATGAATAGGAAATTGTTTAGAATGGCTTTTAACTTTAAAGTTGAAAGTTACTGTTGCAGACATCATGAAAGGAACCTTATAACTTGTAGTCTTTGCTTTTAAGTCTTACATTAGCTTTTGCAAACCCCAAGCTTGCCAGGCTAATACTTTAGGACATATTTCTTTTTTCTTCATAGACTGAGATGTAGAAAGTAAAGGGGCTAGGAATGTAGCTCAGTTGTAGTGTCTGCCTAGCATTTGTAATACCCTGCTTCCCATCCCCAGTATGGCAAAAAAAAAAAAAAAAAAAAGTCATAAACTGAGAGGTCGATACTTTTCTTCTTGTTCTTCTTGTTCTCCTTCTCCTTTTTTTTTTTTTTTTAATTTTTTTTTTTTTTTCACCAGGGATTAAACCTAGGGATGCTCTGAGCCACATGAGCCACATCCTCCAGCTCACTAAGTTCCTGAGGCTGGCTTTGAACTCACAATCCTCCTGCCTCAGCCTCCTGAGCTGTTGGGATTATAGGCGTGCACCACCGCACCGGCTCAACACCCTTCTTCTTCTTTTTTTTTTTTTGACAGAGAATCTTTTTTGTAGATGGACACAACACAATGTATGTGGTACTGAAAATCGAACCCAGGTCCTGCCCGTGCTAGGCGAACACTCTACTGCTGAACCACAATCCCAGCCCCACACCCTTCTTTTTTTAAAAAAAATATTTATTTTTTAGTTATAGGTAGACATAGTATCTTTATTTTATTTTTATGTGGTGCTGAGGATCAAACCCAGTGCCTCATGCATGCTAGGCGAGCACTCTACCTCTGAGCCACATCCCCAGCCCTCAACACCCTTCTTTTTTTTAATATTTTTTATTTTTTTTAGGTGGACACAATATCTTTATTTTTATGTGGTGCTAAGGATTGAACCCTGTGCCTCATGCATGCTAGGCAAGCACTCTACCACTGAGCCACAATCCCAGCCCAACACCCTTCTTAAGAACAGAGATTATTTATTTTTCCACAGCTATAAACAAGGACACCTATAAATGAGACTATGCCATCCCTGGGCAGAGGAGTATGCACAGGTAGAAAGTTGCTCTCACTTGTATTGGGCCCCAGTGCCCCATTAACTTGTCACCTAAAAAATAGGAATCGTGCATTTCCTGCCCTTGAAAGCCATATGGCAAAACTCATGTAACATGTTGTTGCCTGAAATTCTTTCTGGAACAAGGCAAAGTATAAATAAACACATATCACTTGATAGAATTTAAAGTGTTCTTTCCCTTGATAGAAACAACGAGTGGGGAGAGGTGTCTGGACAACCACCCCACACCTTCACTGCTCTCCTCAACTTCTCTTGGTTCTTACCCCTCTCGCAGCCCTGACCTCCTAGTTGCCTATTTCAGGCTGAGGGCTACCTTCCTGTCTTGTCTTACCTTTCTGCCTTTGCCCTTGTTCCCATCCCCTGCCTTTCTTTCCTGTTTTCTGCAATTACTCCCTTTTACAGGCTGCTTTTCCTTAGCTTTCAAATATGTGTGAGTCTCACATTATAAGTTTCCCTTGATCCTCTACTTTCTAATTTTTTTGCTTTATCACATTTCCATATGACACTGTTGATTATTCTCTTCTCTAAAAATTTCAACTCTCCTTCAGCCTGCATGACAACATTTCTTTCCAGGTTCTGCTTCTCTCTGCCTCGTAATCCTTTGTGGGGTCCCAGTCTCCTGTGCCCACCTAATTGTAGGTGTTTCCTAGAGATCTGCTCATATCTCTGTTCTTTTCCTCCTATGTCCCCCCTCTTGACCAAGACTCTTTCTCAAGTCTGTCCTGGTTTGTTTCTTTCCTCTGAGCTTCAGATTCTCTAGCTCAGCCTCCTGAGGGCCATCTCTGGTGGATTTCTCTTAGCTACCACCAGCTTAGTGTGGTCAAATCTGAATATGACATCTTGCTTATGCCTCTTTCTTCCTATTTCCTGAGTAATCAGTCACCCTGTTATCAGTTGCTATGGGCGAAGCCAAGAGTAATCTTCCTGACTACTTCCTGTTTCTTTCTCCACATCTAATTAGTTTCTGGTTTTGCTCTTTTTCGTTTTTTACATATGGCTTAATTTCTGTTTCTCTATCATTAACTTTAAGTCCTTGAGAATTTCCAGGGCAGCCAGACACAAGACATACTCTAGAATTCATTTTCAATGAGTATTGAATTAGAGGAAATAAAAAAAAAAAAACCTCCTTTCTATCTCTGAAAAAAAGGTAAATATGCATGAGTCTTTAGATTTGGAGGAAAATATAAATGAGGATGTGGTTGCTTATGGATCTGGGAGGCCATGTCAGGCATATGGAAAGGCTGGGAGAGAAGGGTGGGTGGGGGACTCAGCCAGTGGGGATTTTTGAAACTTCCCTTAACGTGGCAATAGACTATGATGTAGCTGAGTGTGACCTAGGGAAATTTGTATGGAAATATATATTTTTAACATTTCAGTAAGGTTTGGGTCTCTATTTCTGTTTTTCTGGGATTATTCATTTTAGAGTTTCTGTGGTGTTTCATTATTTGATTCTTGGTTCCCTCCTGAATCTTTTTTTTTTTTTTTTGAATAGGATTTTTCTGAGACTTGTTACATTTTTTTTAAAAAAAAAAACAGGATGATTTTTAATTTTTTAAAGAGAGAGAGAGAATTTTAATATTTATTTTTTAGTTTTCGGCAGACACAACATCTTTATTTTATTTTTATGTGGTGCTGAGGATTGAACCCAGGCCGCATGCATGCCAGGTGAGTGCCCTACTGCTTGAGCCACATCCCCAGCCCCGACTTGTTACATTTTTGAAGTGATTAGAAACTTTGTTGGGTATTCTCAACTGGAGGTGATATGTTAATTAAAACTTTTTTTTTTTTTTAATCAGGGATTGAACCCAGGAGCTCACTACTGAGCCACATCCCCAGTCCTTTATATTTTTTATTTAGAGACCGGTTCTCACTAAGTTGCTTAGGATCTTGCTAAGTTGCTAAAGCTGGGTTTGAATTTATAATCCACCTGCCTCAGCCTCCCAAGCCACTGGAATTACAGATGTGTGCCACTTCACCTGGAAAAATTTGATTATAAATAATGGAAACAAATTCAGATCTGGTTAAGAAAAAAGAATAGTGTTTATCCTAAAAATCAAGGGATATTTCCAATAGCAGGAATGGAGTAGGGTCTTAGGAGCTAGAAACTTTAGTTCTCTGTTCCTCTTGTCTCATTTTCTCTTTCTCCATCTCCATTCTTATTTTATGGATTCCTGGTCTTTGGTTCATGGGCAGGTGTCAGACCCCACTACTTCCAGAGTGCATGTGTTGCAGGCCAGCACTTTAAGGAATTGACTCTCTCGGGCTGGGGATGTGGCTCAAGCGGTAGCACGCTCACCTAGCGTGCGTGCGGCCTGGGTTCGATCCTCAGCACCACATACAAAGGAAGATGTTGTGTCCGCCGAGAACTAAGAAAAAATAAATAAAAGTTAAAATTCTCTCTCTCTCTGTCCCCCCCCCCCTCTCTCTCTCTTTAAAAAAAAAGAAAAAAAAAAGGAATTGACTCTCGTTGCTCAGTTTACTTAGCCTGACTGCCTAGTACCTACTTGTAGGGCTGGGTACTCAGGGTCTTCTATCAAACATAACGATTAGGAACTATCAGCTTTTCTTAACTATGACAAATAACTGAGATAATCAGTTTATAGAGAATAGATTTGTTTTCTCTCACATTTTTAGAGATTGCAGTCTAGATCACTTGGCCCTGTTGTTCTTTGTATGTGGTAGCACATCATGACCCTAACGGTCAGAAGGTGAAAAAGAGAGAGAAGAAGAGACCATAGTCTCACAGTCCCCTTGAAGGGCATGTCCCCCGGTGACCTAAAAATCTCCCAAGAAGGCCCATGTCTTTTTTGTTTTGTTTTGTTTTAATTTGTTACACATGACAGTACAATGATCTTGTCATATCCTACATTTGTATCAGACAGGGTATAATTTCTCATTTTTCTGAGTGTACAGGTTGCAGAATCACATTGGTCAAGCAGTCACGTATATACATACAACAATAATAATGTCTATTTTATTCTGCTTTCCCCCCAAGAAGCCCCATGTCTTGAAAAGTTCCTCCATCTCCCAGTAGCACTGAGCTGGGAAGTGAGTCTATACCACATGGATCTTTGGACTTAAAGTTCAAGCTCTCACAAGATCCCACTCCTTTGTCTTTGAGGATGTAGGAGGCCCAGAGAAAGGGAAAATCATCTCAAGTTGGGAAGATCCTTTAGCAGGTTCTTCCTAAAGGTGCAACTAATTCCTCTAGGGATAGCCACCACAGTCTGTGAGATCTGTAACACTTATTTTATTTTTTTAGTTGTTGATAGACCGTTGTTTGTTTGTTTCAATTTTTTTTTATTTATATGAGGTTCTGAGATTTGAACCCAGTGCCTCACACATGCCAGGCTACCACTGAGCCCCCAGCCCTAGCCCCTGTAACACTATTTAACAACTGTTTTTCTTTTCTCTGTCGTGTGTCAATTTCAGAATTAATTTATTCCCATTGGGCACATTAGTACAGCCTATAATCTCTCAGCTACTTGGGACATTGAGGCAAGAAGATTACAAGTTCAAGGCCAGCATCGGTAACTTAGTGAGACTCTGTCTCAAAAATTAAATAGAAAGGGCTGGGAATGTAGCTGAGTGGCAGAGTACCCCTGGGTTCAATTCCCAGTAACTAACACACACATACACACACACACACACACACACAATTCATTCTCAAGTAAGGAACTTCTTTGGAATAGTACCATGACTTGTATATTTTGCAGCCCCCACAACATGAATTTGATTTTTATATAATTTTTTGCACCAGTGTTTTTGCTTTTGGCTCTGAACTTCTGTAGAGGATCACGGTTGGATTTCTATAGAGGCTTGGTGATCACTTGATGAAAATAGATTGACGCATTTGTTGTGCCTTTTCACTGACTTTTTCCCTGTCATGCACAGGTTCTAAGCTGAAGGAGGTCTTTGACAAGATCCACAGCCTGCTTTCTGGAAAGCCTGTTCAATCTGGTGGGCGCTCTGTATCTGTCACACTTAACCCACAGGGCTTGGACTTCGTTCAGTATAAACTGGCAGAGAAATTTGTGGTAAGAAACTCAGAGGTATGGGAAGAGGAGGCTGGTGTACACCTTTTTGGGTATTAATTAAAATTGTCCCCCATCTCTTTGTTCTCAGAAACAAGGGGAAGAGGAGGTGGCCTCTCATCATGAAGCAGCATTCCCCATCGCAGTTGTGGCATCTGGGATCTGGGCGCTCCACCCCAGAGTGGGGGACCTCATCCTTGCTCATCTACACAAGAAGTGTCCTTACTCTGTTCCTTTCTATCCAGCTTTCAAGGAGGGGATGGCTTTGGAAGACTATCAGCGGTAAAGTTGTTTTTCTCCTTATTCACTCTCTCTAGGGTGATTAATAGAATATAAATAGAATTGGAATTTTTTTTTCCTCCTTCTCACAGTTCTTCTGTGTACCTTGAAAATTCTGTCAGAAAGGTCTTTGATGTAACTTTTGGGATTTGTGGTGTTAGATATCAATAATAATAGTTTATTAGAAAGAATATTAGACCTAGAATCCAGTGGTCTTAGAAATTATCCCTGCTTTTCATCTTAAGGGCTTTGCAAAAATGGGTAGATTATTTAACGTCTTTGAGTATTAGTTTTCCTATTTGTAAATGGGGTATTGATAGCCATTACCTTCTGATTTTACCTGTGAGTTTACCCTGCAGGGCTTTTGTGAAACAAATTTGTTGGCGAATACCAGTGCTTTGCTATAATGTTAAACATAACAATATTATTACTTTTAGCCATGAAAAGTAATCTCTGGTTTGTTACCCTTATTGTGGCCTTGTCACATTGAGTTTTTCTCTTTCCATGTAGGATGCTCGGCTACCAAGTGAAGGATTCCAAGGTGGAACAGCAGGACAACTTTCTAAAACGCATGTCTGGGATGATTCGTCTCTATGCTGCCATCATCCAGCTCCGGTGGCCGTATGGAAACCAACAAGAAGTGGGTAGAAAAGGCTAACTGCCAGTAATGAGAGGTTGGATGAGGGTCCATGTTGGTGATTCCACCCACAGCAAACATTTTCCTTGGTGTCAGGTTTCTGTTATTGCAGCAAAATACCTGAGAAACAGCTTACAAGGAGGAAGGGTTCATTTTGGCTCATGGTTTCGTAGGTTTCAGTCTGTTCAGCTGGCTCCATTGTTCTTGGGGCTGTGGTGAGGCAATACTTCACAGCAGGAGTATGTGGTAGAGTAAAGCTGCCCATCCACAGCAGCTGGGAAGCAAGAGAGGGACAGGCAGGGGTGGGGTCCCAGAATCTCCCTCAAGGGCACATCCCAGTGGCTGACCTCCTCCAGCTAGGCTCTGTCTCTTTGAGGTTCCATCCATCTTGCAATAGTGCCACAGGCTGGTGACCAAGCCTTTAACACATAGGCCTTTGGGAGACACTTCCAAACCATAGCAGCCTTCCTTCCGAATCTCTCCAGTGAAACAATGAGGGAAAGTGTCTGGTAGCTTCACAGGTTTTTGTTGTTGTTTTGGTTTTTTTGCTTTACTAAGGATTGAACCCAGGACCTTACACATACTAGGCAAGCACTGAGCGATATATTTTTCAACCAATTTTACTTTATCTTTTTGAGACAGTGTTCTGCTAAATTGCTCATGCTAGCCTAAAATGTGTGATCCTCCAGCATGTTTTCCAAGAGGTACACCATTGCATCTGGCTTCATAGACCAGAAGAGAGGCTATTATAAGTCAATCATTAGATTTAGAAGGTATTCGGGATTGAACTCAGGGAATCGTGCATGCTAAGCAAGCACTGTACCACTGAGCCCTATGCTTTTTTATTAGAGGGATGAGCAAGAAGTTGTCATCTTACCCCTGGTTGGGGCCTTGGAATCTATCTAGGTCCCATTGCTTACCTCACAGATAGGCAGTGGAAACATACAAAGCTGGAGGGATTCATATCTGTCAGTGACAGAGCCATGGCGGGGTTCTGGGCTTTGACCTCTCAGCTCATTTTTTTCTCAAGGAGTACAGGTAGAGAGGTAGAGAAGTTAATAGACTTCGAAAAAATAGAAGTTGATTGAATCCAAGAACTTTTTATTGCTGTATCTAGGTTCTAAGCTAAAGGTACCAAGAAAAATAGAATGTCAATAAGAGCCATACATATTGGTGCATATCTATAATCCCAGTGATACGATGGCTGAGGTAGGATTATGAGTGTAAAGCCAGCCTGGGCATCATAGCAAGATTCCATCTCAAAAAAAAAAAAAAAAAAGTTTTAAGCTGGGCCTGGTGGAGCATGCCTGTAATCCCAGTGGCTGGGAAGGTTGAGGCAGGAGGATCACGAGTTCAAAGCCAGCCTTAGCAACAGCGAGGCACTAAGCAACTCAGTGAGACTCTGTCTCTAAATAAATTACAAAATAGGGCTAGGGATGTGGCTCAATGATTGAGTGCCCTTGAGTTCAATCCCTGGTTATGCTCCCCCCTGCCCCCCAAAAAAGGTTAATACTGTAAGTATTGGCCTATGGAATCTCTGAAACTGAAGTTGTTATATGTGTCAAAGGGATCCTGTAAAGAAGGTGTGAGAATGTACACGTTGTTTAGAATATTTAAAACCAGAGTTTGAGGCTGGGGAAAAAGCTCAGGTGATAGAGTGCTTGCCTTGCAAACACAAGGCCCTGAGTTCGATCCCCAGCACCAAAAAAAAAAAAACAAAAGTCTGTTTAGCCTGTGTTATTTCCTCCTTGTGGCATGTTCCTGGGCGAAATGATCTTGGTGTTCATGTCTTCTTGGTAGTCGCTGAATAACATGGAGAGTTTAGATCTCTCAATAAAATGAGATCCAATTATGGTAAAACTTCTCTCCTCATAGATTCACCCTCATGGCTTAAATCATGGCTGGCGCTGGTTGGCCCAGATCTTAAACATGGAACCTCTGTCAGATGTGACAGCCACTCTCCTCTTTGACTTCTTGGAGGTATGTAATTTAGATATCACACAAGAGAAAGCCAGTGGTTGAGGTGGACTTAGGAAATTGAGTGACAAGGATGGGTAAGCAGTGTAGAAATGAGCCTGGAGGTGAACAGTATTTATTACACCAGTGTTGCAGATGTTTTTTCCAAACCACAAGAAAGCTCTGGCTTTCACTTTTTCTAAGCATTGTACTTGCCTTCTCTGTGTAGATGTTTTTTTCCATTACCAAAATAAGAAAATGGTGCATCCTAGCTTAAGTTAAAAAATAGCATTAGTTTTAGTGATATAGAAGTGACTCCCACAACCAAGGTAGGACATGCAATTGAATCTCTTTAGAGCATGGAACCAAGGCACTGGAATATCACCAGGCACCAGCTTAGTCTCTCTGTGGCACCATATGACTTTCATAACCACTGTCTCTGCAAGCTGCCTCACTCTTGCTCTGTTGGCTAACATTGTCAGTTTCTCTGCATGTAGTAGGGGAGGCGGCAATCCTGGCTGTCACTCATCTCAGCATGATCACTCAATGTTTTGGGACCAATATTTCACTGTTCTGAGATTCCTTACTTCCAGGAGAGAAAATACCATACCCAGCTTGGGTCAGGTATCTTCCCTATCTAGAAGGCTATATACAGTTCTGTCTGCCTCTAAGGGACCACCACATTTAAAACTAGTTTGTTTAGCTTGTGTTATTTCTGCCTTGTGGCATGTCACCACAGTAGGATGACAGCAAGGGTTTCCACGGAAAGTAGATACTTAAAGAATGCTTAAGGGCTGGGCGTAGTGGCGCACGCCTGTAATCTCAATGGCTTGGGAGGCTGAAGCAGGAAGATTGCAAGTTCAAAGCCAGCCTCAATAGTGGTGAGGTGCTAAGCAACTCAGTGAGACCCTGTCTAAATAAAATATAAAATAGGGCTGGGGATGTGGCTTAGTGGTTGAGTGCCCCTGAGTTCAATTTCCAGTAACAACAACAAAAAAAGAATGCTTAGGGAACATGCCATAACAGGTCTGGGGCCATTTCACCAGTAATGCTAGTAGTTCCTAGTCGCCTTTTAGTTCCTGGAGTCACATACACTAACAGTGAGCCTGAATCTTTGAGAATACAAGTAGTATCCCCTATTTGCTTCTTACTAGGGTTGGGAGGGTGCCAGACCTTCAGAACGACTTGGGTTTGGTAGAGTAAAAGAAGAATTGTTCACAAAGACCTGACAGTCTGTGTATTGCTATATACAGAGAAACGCTTGTGGTAGAAGAGTGGTTTCTTTCCATTTATTCCCTCATTAGCTAGCTCAGTAGTATGACTGATATTTTTTGACAGGTGTGAAAGGCAAAGGCTGATCCCACTTTGTGGATCTGTCCTGGGAGTGGATTTTCCTCCCTGCCCTCATGGTTCTTGTCTTTTCTGTTAGGTGTGTGGGAATGCCCTCATGAAGCAGTACCAAGTCCAGTTCTGGAAGATGATACTACTCATCAAGGAGGATTATTTCCCAAGGTATCAGGCTTATTGAGCAGGCAACTGGGATTTAGTTACTAACAGTAGTGAACCAGGTATAGAGACCCTGGAGTGCTATTACATGCTATTTTTCACTGAAATTAAAAATGCTAGGGGTGTAGCCAGTGGTAGAGCACTTGCCTAGCTTGCACAAGGCCCTGGATTCCAACCCAGCACTGAAAAAAAATTTTTTAAAGCCTGTGTTAAGGGCTGGGGTGGTGGTTCAGTGGTGGAGCACTTGCTTAGGATGTGTGAGGCACTGGATTCAATTCTCAGCACCATATATAAATAAATAAAATAGGGGCTGGGGTTGTGGCTCAGTGGTAGAGCACTTGCCTTGCATATGTGAGACACTGGGTTCAATTCTCAGTACCGAGTGTAAATAAATGAATAAAATAAAGGTCTGTCAACAACTGAAAAGTTAAATAAACAAACAAACAAATAAATAAAAGTCCATGGATGACTAAAAAAATATGGGAGGAAAAAAGCCTGTGTTAAGGATCACATCTTTTTACTCCTGTACATCTCTGTTGTTATTATTTTTTTTGCTTAAATTTTTTAGTTATAGATGGACATAATACCTTTATTTTATTTATTTATTTTTATGTGATGTTGAGGATCCAATCCAGTGCCTCATGTGTGCTAGGCAAATGCTCTACCACTGAGCCACAACCCCAGTCCCCTATACTTCTCTTTTATATTTGAATAAATACTTTTGAACTCTAAATGAGAGTCTTTTAAAAATATTGTTAATTAAATGAAACACAATTAGGAAAGTCTTAGAGTAAGATATCTGGCATTTTTAAAAATTGTTCTTTCCCAGGGTCCCCCAGATAATCTAGGATGGTGATTACATGTAGCCATGAGTTAAGCCAAGAGGTTAAGTCCTCTCATTAAATCAGATGGGGTAACTAATGGCAAAGCCCTGATCACAAAGACCCTGGAAAGGAGTGTGCTCTCTTCTTCTTTTTCTCTGGCTTGAAAAGGTTGAGATCATTTGGAAGAGCAGCAGTACCCTTAGCTTATTAGCCAGCCCTGTGAGTCAGTGGGTCACACTGTACTCCAGATCAGTAGTGTGCTGATACACACCATCCAAAAGAGGTGTGTATCATGGGGGGTTCACAGATCTCCTTTGTCTCCCTGTAGAATTGAAGCCATCACAAGCTCAGGACAGATGGGTTCTTTCATACGCCTCAAGCAGTTCTTGGAGGTAAGATGCCCTCAGCCTAATATATCTCAAACTGTTGACCTGAGACTCACCTGAGCCTGACAAGTCCTGCACCTCCAAACCCTGATGGCAGCCTCCTCCTCTAGCTCATCCCAGCCCTGCTGTTTGTTAATGATTCCCACTTGCCTCTCTCTGGACTGGGGCTGCCATTTCATCTTCTTCCTGCATATCATTCTTCATGCTGCCTGTGAAGCAGCCACCCTAAGAGATGAATAAAATATATAATGAATCTTCTGTCACTAATATTTTCTTTTTTTTTTTTTTTTTTGCTGATACTGTGGATGGAACTCAGGGGTATTGTATCATTTAACTATATCCCCAGCCCTGTATTTTTTATTTGGTGGAGTTTTTTTTTTTTTTTTTTTACTTTTGTGGAACTGGGGGTCTAACCCAGGGCTTTGTAAATGCAAGGCAGATGCTTTGCCACTGAGCTTCATCCCAACCCCATATTTTTTTATTTGGAGACAAAGCTGGCCTTGAAAATTGCAGTCCTCCTGCCTCATTTCCTAGGTAGCTGAAATTACAGGTGTGGCCACCATGCCTGGCTTCATCAATACAAGTTTTGCTTATTGACCAAATTTCCTTTCTCTATCTTGGGTTTGGGAAACTGGTAAATGTGGTCACTTTTCTCCACAAGAAGAGACTATACTTTCAGTTGGACTGTACCCCTATTTCCAACTGCCAAGAAGTTTTAAGAGGTAAATTTTCACAAATAATTTGAAACTCCATAGTAGGTGTACTAAAGTAATCCACTGATTTTGAGCTTCTAGGAGCCCCATTGGGAAAATAGTGATGGTGACAGATGAAGCCACGCTGTAGGGACAAGGATGGAACAGGCGTAATAACAGCACTTCATTTGTTCTAGTCTTACACAGAACCATCAGTCTTACTTATGGGCTTTTTCCTTTGTCTACTCTTCCATAGGACTTGGTGTTTGTCCCTCCAAATTTCTTCCAACTGTAAAGCATAAGATACAGTGTTATTAGAAACTCATTCTGAGCCAGGTATGGAAGCATACACCTGTAATTCCACTCAGGAGGCTAAGGCAGGAGGATCACAAGTTCAAAGATGGCCTCGGCAACCTGGCGAGACCTTGTCTCAAAGTGAAAATTAAAATATAAAGGGCTGGGGTGTAACTCAATGGTTGAGCACCCCTGGGCTCAATCCCCAGTAATGCACACTCATTCTCTTTTTGTCTTAACTCATTCTCTTTTTTCTTTCCCGACCAGAAATGTTTGCAACGCAAAGAGATTCCTGTCCCCAAGGGCTTTCTGACTTCCTCCTTCTGGCGTTCCTGATGTTACTCCCATCACCCAATATCACCACTATATTGTGAAGAGGCAAGAATAAAGCAACTGAAGATAGTTGTTTTGGGAAGAAGTCATGTTAAATTTAGAAATTTGTCAGTGTGTGTTTTTACATATTTGACCATGTGACTAGGAGAGAAGATTTTCACAAAATCTTGGTAATTCCTTTACAGGTTTGGTAACTCATTAAGGCATCCACATGCTGGATTAAATAGAGCTGGCTTTTCTGTTTTTTGTAAAATTTGTGAGCAGAGGTGTTTAGTACTTGGTCTCATTCCTTTGTCTCTGAGTGTCTTTCAGAAAGTTGGTGATACATTAGCCATTTTACTCTGAACTAGTCTGAGCCCACCATTTCACCCCTTCCCCACCCCTGTTCAGACAAATTCCCAGAAAGAGATTCGTAAGATACCATTCAAAGTATCATTAAATGGTTAAAGCCAAATCCTTACATGCATGTCTGGGTTATGATGGTTTTGCCTTTCTCAGCTTGTGAAGCATTTCTAAATGCAGAGGAGACGAGTGATATGTAGTTAAATAAAGACATTTGGGAGGAATTATAATTTTTTTCATGTTCCAAGTAATGAATGATGATTAATTTGCCGACTGAAGCCACTGCAAAAATCCAGAATTTGAATGTTCAGATAAAAATTGCAATTTGTTTTATGGAAAGACTCATTCTCTATTATACTGCAGAGGCAGCAGCCAAAGATCTGTCCCTCTACGCTTAGTGCTTTGTGGGCATATGTATTCACTGGTACCCAAGTAGCTTGAAGTGACCCATTCTATGAATCCTGACTGCAGTGCCAAAAAATAAGTAATAAAGCTTGATTTTTTTTAATATCCATTGCTGATATATAGTTGATTTAATATAATCAATTTCCTGCACTTTGAGTTGTATAAATCATTAGAGGAATTGTGTTCTTGTAGTACACGAATCTACGTATGGAATGATATGTATTTCTTCCTCTTTTGCCTTTTTTTTGTGTGTATATGTGGTACTGAGGATTGAACCCAAGGGTGCTTAACCACTGAGGCATGTCCCAGCCCTTTTTATATTTTATTTTGATACAGGGTCTTGCTAAGTTGCTGAGGCTGGCCTTGAAATTTGGATCCTCCTGCCTCAGCCTCCTGAGTCACTAGGATCAGACATGTGCCACTGCTTCCAGCTGTTTCACCTTTTTTTTAAAAGAGAGAGAGCTGGGCATGGTTGCACATACTTTTGAAATCCCAGTGACGCAGGAAGCTGAGGTAGGAGGATCACAAGTTTAAAGCCAGTCTCAGCAACTTAGCAAGACCCTGTCTAAAACAATAAGAAGGGCTGGGGATATGGCTCAGAGGTTAAGTGCTCCAGGATCATTCCCCAATACCAATAAATAAAAAAGTAAAACATTTTTTTAAAAAGGGGAAAAAATTGAATATGAAAAATCACTGGGGACTGGGGATGTAGCTCAATAGTAGAGTATATCATGTGAAGTCCTGGGTTCAGTCCCTAGCATCAAAAAACAAACAGAGGCTGAGGTTGTGGCTCAGCGGTAGAGCGCTCCCCTGGCACATGTGAGGCCCTGGGTTTGATCCTCAGTGCCACATAAAAATAAATTAATTTTTTAAAAAGGTATTGTATCCAATTACAACAAAAAAATAAATGTTTAAAACAAACAAAAAAACTCTCAACGGACAAGATGATATTAAGGTGTCTCATAGTAACTTTTTTTTGAGGGGGGTACCAAGGATTGATCTCAGGGGGCACTGAACCACTGAGCCACTTCCCCTGCCCTAGTTTGTATTTTATTAGAGACAGGGTCTCATTGAGTTGCTTAGTGCCTTGCTTTTGCTGAGGCTGGCTTTGAACTTGGGATCCTCCTGCCTCAGCCTCCCGTGCTCCTGGGATTAGAGGTATGCACTACTGCACCTGGCTTCTCGTAGTGATTTTTTTTTTTTTTAATGTGTAGTCGGAGATGGACACAGTTTATTTTATTTTATTTTATTTTATGGACACAGGTTTATTTTATTTATGTGGTGGCGAGGATTGATCCCAGTGCCCCACACATGTAAGGCAAGCACAACCTCAGCCCTCATAGTGTTTTAATATTCTTCCTCTAGACGTGGTTAGCAGTTTTGCATATGTCAGTCGGTACCAGTATTCCTGATATATTCTCAAAGGTAAACCAAGAAAGGAGAGCATTGGGAGGCCAGGGTTTTGATGTCCACTGATAATGTCGCCTCAGAGATCATGATCAACAGTGGACTGATACAGCTCCAAATAGGCGAAAGCATCAGATTCCTTACCATAGAATGCCAGGAGCTGCATTTGCTTTTTAACTCAAGTACTTGTCTGCTGGCTTTTTTCCAACTTGACCTCATTTCTCAGGCTGAGTTCCCACATTTTTGTCATATCATTGTCCTATATTACCTTTGAGCAAATGTGATGATGCATTAAAAATTCCAGTAAGACAGAAACTCTACACGTCCATTGTAGAGAAGAATGGAGTTGCTCTGAGGGTTTCCCACCCATGCATTTAGAGCTTTTCCCTCCATCTCAAACTTGCTATGATGGTAGCAGTGATGCGATTAGTGACATCTCAGGCCCAGGATAACCAAAAATAAGAACTGTAGAGCTTCTTTTGGTGTGTGTGTGTGTGTGTGGCACTGGGTATTGAACCCCAGGGCCTTGAGCATGCTAGACAGGCATTCCACCACTGAGCAATATTTTAGCCCCCTTTTAAAATTTTTAAAGGCTGGGGTTGTGGCTCAGGAGTAGAGCACTAGCCTAGCACATGCGAGGCTCTGGGTTTGATCCTCGGCACCACATAAAAATCAATAAATAAAACAAAGGTATTATGAAAAAAAATATATGTTGAGACAGGGTCCTGCTAAATCACTCAGACTGTCCTCAAATTTGTAATCCTCCTGCCTCAGCCTCCCATGTCACTGGGATTATAATCCATAGAGCTTCTTACAGGTCCTTATCACACACAGCCATTCCCTTCCCTTTTCTTTGTTCTACCTAATGAATTCCGGATAGTGGATTTCCTGTGGATTTATAGCAAACAGATGAGAGCTGTAGTCTTCCAGCTGTGTGATGCATTTACAAAGACACTCATTATACAGAAGTTTATCTTCTAGCTTACAGCCAGGCTCCATTTTTTAAAAATACCAGTTTATACAAGTTTATGTATTCTAGAAACATTTTTTGTTTGTTTTAGCTTTTTCAGGATGTCTACGCTAAATGCAGAATATGATCCTGTATTAGAACCTGGACCAGAGAAAAGGATTTTTCTGCACATTTGTTTTTTGGCTATAAAGAATATTAGAGCAGAACATGGTGGCATACATCTGTTATTCCAGCAACTCTGGAAGCTGAGGCAGGAGAATCATAAGTTACTGCCCAGCCTGAACAAAATAAATAAATAAATAAATAAATAAAAGAATAAAGAAAAACCCATTGGGCAGTTTGCAAAACTTGCATAAGATCTATGTATTAGATAGTAGTATTTTGTCAATATTGATTTCTTGACTTTTTAAACAAATACTTATGGAAGTAAATGGGAGTGATGTCTACAACTTATTTTCAAATGATTTGGAGAGGGGATGAACCTATATGTATAGATATGTGTATATGTATTTTTTATTCTATATGTATATGTGCATGTACACATAGAATAATAAAGCAAATATGTTCAAAGGTTAACAACAGAGGAATCTGGATTTAGGGCATACGGGATAATTTCAACTTATAACATTTTGCAAAGTTGAAATTATTTCAAGGTTAAAAGGCGACCTTACCCTCCCCCCCAAAAAAAAAAAAAAAAAAAAAACTTAAGACCCCTTCATGCACCAGGTACAATGGCACATACCTGTAATCCCACCTACTTGGGATGCTGAGGCAGGAAAATCATAAGTTTTAGGTCAATTTGGGCAACTTAGCAAGACCTTGTCTCAAAATTTTAAGGACTGGGGATGTAGTTCATGATAGTTCACTTGCCTAATGTATGTGAGGCCCGAGGCTCTATCCTCAGTACTACCAAAAGAAAATCCCACAAAGCCAAAAAAACAAAAACCCTTCATGTTTACAGTTGTTCCAACAAGATGACAAAATCACATTGTAGAAGCTACAACCTTATGACTGGATCCTGGTGACTAAGGTAGTCTTGAAGCCATCAACTTGTAACAGGATGGAGAGCAGGTTTGTTTTTTGGAGAGGTGAGGGGGACAGATAACAGGGATTGAATTCAGGGGCACTTGACCACTGAGTCACAACTCCAGCTCTTTTTTTTTTTTTTTTTTTTTTTTAATTTAGAGACAGGGGCTGGGGACATAGCTCAGTTGGTAGAATGCTTGCCTTGCATGCACTAGGCCCTAGGTTCAATCCCCAGCACCATAAAAAAAAAAAAAGAAAAATTAGAGACAGGGTCTCTCACTGAATTGCATAGGGCCTTGCTAAGTTGCTGAGGCTGGCAATCCTCCTGCCTCAGCCTCCCAAGCCACTGGGATTATAGGAGTTCACCACTGTATCCAGCTGTAACATGTTTTAGAAATGGCTAAACCCAGGCAGATGGAGAGGTAAATTGGAACAAGATTGTGGAGGCTCTGGAAAAGTTTATTTAAATCGTTGGGCTATTCTGTAGGCAATGGGAAGTTATTAAAGTTTCCTGAGAAGGTTTGACATGGTTTGTGAAACTAATTCTAACAATATGCTTAAGATGAACAGGATGGGGCTGGGGTTGTAGCTCAGTGGTAGAGCACTTGCCTCACACACGTGAGGGCCTGGGTTCGCTCCTCAGCACCACATAAAAATAAATACATAAAGATACTATGTCCATCTACAACTAAAAAAAAAAAAAAAAAGATGAACAGGAGGAATGGAGACTGTTCCAGCTTAATATGCAGTCTTACCAGGATCCAGAGGTGACAACGGGGACTGGGCTAGGACAGTAGTTAGGCAGGGGGAAGGGGAGCTCACCCTTCTGCTGTCATCTGGAGTCTTTTAAGCAAGTCAGCCTGATGAGGCCAAACTTCCAGCAGTAATCAGGCCTCTTCTTTGAAGTCCTTGATCTCAGAAACAATTACTTGTGTTTGTTTTTTTGTTCTTGTTTTGCAGTCCAGGGATTGATCCCCAGGGGTACTCTACCACTGAACCACATCCTCAATCCTTTTTATTTTGAGACAGAATCTTGCAAAGTTGCCCAGCTTGGCTTCAAACTTCTAATCCTCCTGCCTCAGCCTCTCATGTAGCTGAAACTACACCTGTGCATCACTGAACTGAACAAAAGTTTAACCATTCTTAAGTCTACAGTTCTATGACATTAAGTACGATCACAATGTTATTCAACCATCATTGTCTAGAACTTTCTCATCATCCAGATGGAAATTGTACTCCTCATTCCTTCCTCCCCTCAACCCTTCATAACCACTGTTTTAACCACTCTGTTTTTATGAGTCTGACAATTCAGGGGTCTTCTATAAGCAGAAAAATATAATATTTGTATTTTGGTGTCTGGCTTATTTCACTTAGATAATGTCTTCAAAGTTTATCCAGTCACTGTCTTTAGAAGAAGTGTGCTATTGCTGGCAAGGTCTGACACTGCAGAATGTCATCTGGGAAGAGGTGCAGTCCCCTTGCCAGCATGGCTTTTCCCAATCAGTTCCTTTCTTTACAGGGAGGAAAAATAGGTCAAGTGCTTACTTTTGAACTCTGGGAGATGAGAAGGGGGTGGAGGTGGGGGGTATTTCTCTTAAGAGAAATACGTGGCTGGAGCATGTGAAAACATCATTACAATCAGTGCACTTCCAAACAGTTGACCTCTTGAACAACTTGAGAAGATGTTGGGACTGCTGAGATGTTTA